GAGGGAGGTGGGTTTCCTTTAAGCCGCTGCTGAAAAGTTTATACTGAGTCATTCCTCTGCAGATGAATGACTGATTCATAATCGGAGCTGCAGAGGCTGGCGGCGGGCGGTTCTGGGATCCGGCGCGGGCAGAATGCGCACACTCCACCTCCGATTAACGCCAAAGGTCAGAGCGGGTCCCGGGCGGGGAGGGAGGAAGGCGAGCCTGGCGGCGCCCGCCTCGGGCGGTGCGCCACGTTCCGCACGGGCCAGCGGTGCGGACGCGGCCCTCGCGTGGGGACCCAGAGAGCGGGTTCCGAGTGGACCGCGCCTTGCCTGAGTCCGGAGCACGAGGGAGTGGAGACGAAGTGTCGTGGACGTGCTCTGAAATTTAAGAAGCCGTGGGATAATGGTCCGCTGGACGAGGAACCGATTTCGTTTCGGGTTTTTCGTCCTGAGCCCGGAATCGGTTTTCGGGGCGAGACAGGGGTGTGTGCGTGTGTGTGCGCTGTTGATGCGTGTGCTCGTGGAGTCGTGGAGGCGGTGTGGAGCCGCGCGAGGCCGCCTCATTTCCATTCACGGCATGCCACTGAACCCGAGCCAGGGCTTTTTCCTTAGCGTTCTCTGTGAGTCCCCTCCGGCCAGGGCTGGGGAAATGCCCCTTTCCGTGACCCGGCGAGCGTCTGTGGACGCCGCGTTGGAGGGGCGAACCGGGCCTCGCTGGGCTAGAACCCCTGGCGCCGGCGCCTGCAGAGGGCCTGGGAAATGCTGCAGCGCCGGCGGGCGGGCGGGCAGTCTGGCCCCCGCGAGCGCGTCATGACTCCAGCAGAGGAAGTGCTGCTCCCCGGTGCTGGGACCTCACCATGGGGACACTTTAGCATTCGGTGAAAATTATTTGGCCAGAGGAAAATAAGCCTTATCAGTGGGAAAACCGGAAAATGCCCCGCGAGGCGGGAGAGCTCTGTGAGTCCGGGCTCAGGACCGACCCCGCAGACCGCCGCGGATTCCAGCGTCACTAGCGAGAATCAGACCTTATGGTGGCTAAGGTTTAAGATGCAAGGTGTCTCACCCAGACGCCATCTGTTCCAGCTGTCACAGCTAGAAAGCCAGGGACGCAGGGAGAGCTGGCCAGGGAGAATTCCAGCGTTGTTGTTTTTTTTTTTTTTTTAAGATATATGAATTTTTCTGTGACAGGAAAGAAGACCAATTATTTTTCTTTGGATGCTATCTGTTCTTTTTGTACTTAGTAAGATGGCCTCAGTGAAAGGCTGCAAAGACGTTCCCCTGGAAGCAGGCAGCAGCAGTGGCCAGTTGGTGCAGATACCATCGTGCCATTCCCTTCTCTGATTGTGCCTTGGAGAGAGTCCTTCATGTAACTAAACATTTGAGCTGTTGCTGCTTTTCCCCTGCGTTTGGGCCTTCTCGAAACATCCCTCGCTAGACTTTCTTGGATTTTTGAGTGCAAATCAAGAAGGACTTTCTCAGGTATTGTCAAGATATGTATGCTAATGAGCTGAAAGATGAGAGTGATTTATCATTCTTTAAAACCCTTTTTTAAGATGCTGAAGCTCTGCTTCAAGAAAGATAAAACTGTCACTGTGGTGTTGTAAGCTGCAGCTAGCTCAGATACAAAAAGGAAATTGTATTAGATTTACCCATCTCTATTTTCTCATCTTGTATAGCAAGATTCTTCAAACAGCAAGTGATCTAACCTGTCAAATATTATGCAATAGATGAATTTCCTGTCATTGGTCAGTTCAAGAACTATTAACAGAGAAGTCCCATGACCAGGGACCTCTGCATTTATTCTATGGAAACAGGACCCCTTGCATTCTTAGCAAGTGTTCATAGAGGAAGAAAAATGATTTTTTTTTTCAGATATCTGTCTTCAGATACAGACAGAAACTGGCAAGAGAGCTATAGTAAGAAAGGAGAAGGAGAGGCCAGAGGATTTGGAAGCTGACAAGGGAGAGGTAGCTGAGGCCTGAATGTGGGGGATGATACTTAGGCTTGGGTAGGAGGAATGGGAGTCAAAGGGTGAGAGATGCCCAGAGGCCAGCAGGCAAGAGGGCAGTAGAGAGAGGTAGAAGATTTTTTTTTTTTTTTTGGAGGGGGGACATCTGTGAAGTCTCTAAGGAGCTAGTGGAAAGAGAAGAAAATTCAGATTCACACAGGAAAAAAAAAGTAGTGCCTGTGTTATTTCTGTTATTTATAATTAAAAAACAAATCCAAGATGACTTTTTTTTAAAGAGAGAGGGAGAGGGAGGGAGAGAGAGAGAGAGAGAGAATTTTTAATATTCATTTTTTTTTTTTTTTTAGTTTTCGGTGGACACAACATCTTTGTTTGTATGTGGTGCTGAGGATCAAACCCAGGCCGCACGCATGCCAGGCAAGCGTGCTACCGCTTGAGCCACATCCCCAGCCCAAGGTGACTTTTTTTTACTTTGGAAAGCTAGCTTTTATTGACTAAGGTCTGCACAACAGTGTTCCAGGAAAGGGTGTGGGAGGGGAGAAACCAGTACAGAAAGGAGAAGGCAGGACTTCTAGCACTCAGGGTCAACCCTCCCCTTTTAAGATTTTTTGTTGAAACTTCTTGGTCTGTGGGTTAAGGTAGCAGGTAGTGTGGTGTCATGAATGTGGGCAATGGCTGGCTTCTGTCCTTTCAGGAGTCGGGTGGGATTCCTGTTTCATTCTGTGTTCCTTGAGATAAGTGGATCAGCTGGGTCTTGGGAGTCTTTTTTCATTTAATTAATGCTCAGTTAATGTGCCCAAGTTCCCATGATATTATGTTTACCATGCCAGGATGAGAGAGGCATGGTGTCTGCCTTCACGGGAGATCTGGGGCATTTTGGCTCCTGTGCATGATGATGGGAGTTGCTAGAGGTCAGCAGATATTGGACTGTGACCCTGGGACAGGATCCTGGTAGGAAGAGTGAGGAAAAAGGAAATTTCACCATCCTGCATGGAGGAAGCTGTACCCACCAGGAGGAAACTAGAAGACAGCTGTGGTGGCACACGCCTGTAATTCTGATTACTCAGGAGGCTGAGGCAGGAGGATTGCAAGTTGGAAGCCAACCTTAGCAACTCAGCAAGACCCTAGCTCAAAATAAAAAACAAAACAAAACTGGGAAATGTAGCTCAGTGCCCCTGGGTTCAATCCCCAGTGCCAAAGAGGAAAAAAAAAAAAAGAAAAAATGGAAATCTCTTGACTGGTTAGGGTGGTCATAGGGTGGTACTTCTGGGAGTACTATGGAGCTGAGCCCAGTGGTGGGAGGTCTCTGGCACTGTGGCTCCATCTGGGCTCACTTGGAGGACCCTGAGGATAGCAGTAAGAATTTTGCCTCCCCAATTTCTTTTGGTAAGATGTGATCTGATAGTTGTTGTCCTTTTCTTCTTTGCCAGTACATGTGGTGCTGGGGATGCTGTGGGTCATTGGTTTCCCATATGGGATGCTTCCTGTGCTTCCCTCTGCTCTTGCAAGGCCCTTGACCACAGGAGCTCAAATGGGTCTGGCAGGCTATTGCTGTGAAGGGCATGATCTGTAGAGGGGAATGGGCAGTGGGTCTCATTACACTGCTGTCCCTACTGTTTTTGTAGGTATAAAATCTCCAAAAGTGGTGGTGGTTTAAGGGATGTAAAGGATTAAAAACAAAAAGACCCTTTTAGTGAGAACATTAGGGTAGAGAAAGGAAATCAGGAGGGAGAAGAGGAGGACAGAGGGAGTCCTGGAGATTGAAATTGATCACATGATGTTCAGGTCAGAATTTGACACAATGAAAACCACTGTTCTGTATCAAACACACACACACACACACACACACACACACACACACACACACACGGCCCCTTCTTCCAAACCTGTCTTCCTTGCTAATACAACCTAAAATCTTAATTCGCAAAAAACGAGAAGTGAGGTCTTTCATTTTCTCTCATGGTTTACTTTTTTCTAGGATTTGTTCCATATTGATTTTATTAAAACAATTAAATAGAGGCTATTTGGTAGCTGTTTTTTTTTTTTTGTACCAGGATTAAACCTAGGGGCACTTAACTACTGAGCCTCATCCCCATCCCTTTTTGATATTTTATTTAGAGACTGAGTCTTGCTGAGTTGCTTAGGACCTTGCCAAGTTGTTGAAGCTGGCAAATAAATGTACCACTGTACCCAGCTCCTTG